TTAAAATGCCAACTCAGCTGCCACGTAAGCAAGTAACCTGCTAAAATTGATGGTAACCTGCTATCTGGTGAAATTGCATACATTTGGAGAGTTCAGTGGCCTAATTGCACGTTTTTGGAGTGTTCAGTGGCCTAATTGCACTTTTTTTCGTTCAGTGGCCTAATTGCATTTTCAGGTTACGTTCAGTAGCCAATTTGAACCTTATTCCTAATTATAAATGGTCAGGTTCCTGTGTACAGTGCTTCCCATGCGGTCGGTGCGCATTGCATTATTAGGTAAGCATAAATGCACCATGAAGTGTCTGAAAATACACCATTATTTGAATATGTGTGATGCATTTTTTTGGTGTGTGGTGCATTTTGTGACATTTCATTCTTATGCATTTTCGAACGCTATGTGGTGCATTTATGCATACCTAATGGTGCAATTCACACCGACCGCACATGAAGCACTGTTCATGCAGAAACCAAAATTAAAATTATTATAAACATTCTGTTTAAACGTGATAAATATTATAAAGGATCATACTCTATATAACCAGGGCCGGATTTTAGGTTTGTGTGGCCCTGTTCTGGTAAATAATTGAGGCCCTTCAAAATCTGAATTTTTAAAAATAACATATGGGAGTTTCGAACCTTTGACCTCCAAGTTAAAATACAATATATACATATTTTTACCATCTCTTCATAGAACCTTTTTAAATTAATTGTAAACTTTTAATTTTTATTCTAAACAAGCTAGGTAAATATTAAATATTGGACCTCTAAAATTTGGGGCCCCTCTAAAATTGGGGGCCCTGTGCGGTAGCCCAGCTTGCACAGCCTAAAATCCGGTCCTGTATATAACTATATAAATATTGTTTGATAGGATCAAAGCCCCCATGCATCACGGCTCACAATATCCTAGAGGCATGCAAGAAGGAACTCCGTAGAATGGAAGTATAGCAGATCAACGTCACTCTTCAGGAACAGAACCCGGTAGCAGATAGCATTGTGAATTCTTCCAGACATCTCCCGGCTGGCCTCCATGTTCTCACTGATCCACCGGCTACGCTGGGAGGCCTTTTGGAGGACGACATTTCTGGGATTCCTCTTTGGTGTTTTGTTCATGAACCTGCCAATAGCTTGTAGTTTAGTTTTTTCTTCGGGTATCACCCTTCCAGTAAATATATATATATATATATATATATATATATATAATATAAAGTTTTTTTACTTTACTAATTATATTAAAAAAAAAAAACAAAACCTTTGTTCAAAATTTTTATATCAATATTCTTCCTTCCTGGGCTATATATAAATTCTAGCTATTATAATTCTTATTTTAGTCCAGTGATATATCCTAGTCTCCTAAGCCTAATATGGGGTGATCACTCGTTATTTAAAGTTTAATATTCTAAAAAAAAAAAATTCATAAAAATAAAAATCCACTTGTTCTCAAATATTTTATTTGTAATTTTTAAATTTAATTTTGTTCTCGATAAATTAAACTTTGAAATGGTGTTCTTAAATAATAAATTTCATTATTGTCACTAATTTAATCTATATACAAAATTAAATTGTAAATAGTTTACATTATTCGCTGAGGGGGATTACTACGCCTCACTCGCGGTCGTTACAACCCAATAGACTCATAGCATGTTTGGTAGAGGGGACTTGCAATTTCTTTCCTATTTAATTTCAAAAGTAAAAAATTTTACAGTTCAGTGGGAAGGAATTGCAATTCTTCAATTTTGAGATATTGCAAATTTTACCTCCCCTTATAAATTCCAATCACACGATACATGGGTAGAAAAGTTAAATCGGGAGGACTAAATTATCCCGTCTTATATCATCACCTTAAAAATTACAATTCTATAAACATTTTGATTTTGATACTACTTATACATTTTTTTCATTTTTATGTAAGCCAAACATTAGAATAGAAATTTCTTATAATTCTATTTCCACCGACTATAAATAATAAAATTTGAATTTCTATTTTATTCACATATTATTCTTCCCTCTAAAATTACAAATTTTTTCCTCTTATAATTTTGTCATTACAACTAAATGTCTAACAAGTGTTAAGCCTAACATTAACACGGCCAATCACCATTATATGAATTGAATATGTTTACCTCCTCAGAGACTCTAACAACACGTTTGGTTCATGGAATGAATTTTGAGGTAATAGGAATGCTATTCCATAAGGAATAGAATAGGATTTGTATTCTATTGTTTGGTTCGCGGAAGGAATAGACTTTAGGAATTATATTACAGTGTTTGGTTGATTTAAGGAATAGAAATGAAATATGTTTTAAAAGACATAAATACCCTTATAAAAATATGTGATGGTGGTGATGGTGGCGGTGGTGGTGGTGGTGCTGGGGTGGTAGTGGTGGTGGTGGCGGTGGCAGTGGTGGGGTCGACGGTGGTGGTGTTGACGGTGACGGTTGTGGCGGTGGTGGTGGGGGCAGCACGGTTGTGGCGGTGGCGGTGGTGCTGCTGTGTGGTGGTTCTGGTGGCGGTGGTGGCGGCGGCGGCGATGGTGGTGGCGGTGGCGGTGATGGTGATGGTGGTGGTGGCGGTGGCGGTAGTGGTGATGGCGGCGGTAGTGGTGGGGGCGGGGGCGGTGGTGGGGGCGATGACGGTTGTGGCGATGGTGGTGGTGGTGGTGGTGGCGGAGGCGGCGATGGTGGTGGTGGTGGTGGTGGCGGCGGCGGCGATGGTGGTGGCGGCGACGACGGTGGTGAAATAAGATAATTATATATATGATAAAAAAAATTAGATTAAAGAAAGGGGTAAAAAAGGAAATAGATTCTAAAATCTATTCCTGAGCGTTCAGTAATAGGCTAATACCAGGGGGGCCCTAGTAATAGCTATTACCTTATTTGAGGTAATAGGCTATTACCAGGAATATTATTCCCGGTAATAGAAATGGTTACCAAACAACGGAATAGGCCTATTACTGGAAATGCTATGCCATTCCCGGCCTATTCCGTGAACCAAACGGGCCATAAGAGTGAAGTCTTGTGGGTTTAAAATTAATTCGGTGAAACTGAAATCACCTAAGTTTAAAAAAATGAATCGAATACATTAAATGAGACAAAAAGTATAAATAAGAAAAATTTTAAAATCAAATGAAATAATTATTCTTTAATTTGTTTGTGCTTTAATTTGTACAGTGCTTGCTCTTTTTGTTTGTATTCTTTATCGAGGACCCAAATATTCTCATAGACTGGGTACGAGTCTACATCATCATCGTATCACTTCAGACATAGACTTATCACACGCCGTGATTTCTGACGCCGAAAATCTATTCACACACAACATCCACGCCGTGTGTTAGACGGAGAAAACAAATCAGGGCCGTTATATATTTATCTTTAGCCGAGTGATTGTGGGCCCACACACCCAAACACTGGGCCGACAATCCGGGGCCCACCTAAGTTGTCACCGACGGTAATATGAAAAGCCCAAGCCTCTGCTAATTTTAACTACTTATATTGCATTATTTTATTTTGTATTAATTATTTAATAAAATTAATAACATTTTATAATAAATCAATAAATTCACTATGCAGCATAACTATCTATTTAAACATTTAATTAATACGAAACAAATTATACAATTTAACATTATACTCAACTCTATACAAAAGGTCATGTATTAAAATAATCAATTCGCACACATGCAGGTTGCGTTGAGCATCATATACATGAATAATAAATATACAAATTAACTATCAGATTAATCTTTTAATTAAAATAATGAAATGTAAGCCGTAACACATCCTTCAACTGGCTAATTAATAATAGAAAGAATATTAAACCTTTCAAAGTGAAGGGGTCCTTATTCGCAATAAGCAAATGATTAATCTTTATGTTCAGCTGAGTTACCATAATTTACATCCTCCGAGATGTTCTCTGACGTGAGAGGCTCTTGAAGTTGGAGATTCAACCTTTCGGGAACAATAATAATAATAGAAATTACACATTACATTAAATTATACAAAATTTAGTACAAATTAAATATCATTTTTAAATCCCAATAAAGTAAATATAACAGTACAAAATTTAGAACATATACATCTTTATCAAGTTATATAAACTAAAATATCTATAAATCAAAACAAAAAAGTATTAAGGATTGTGGCCACGTTGTTACAATGAATAATTTTTTATTATTATAATATTATGTGATACTATTTTTAATTTGTATGCTTGATTAGTTGGCATGATTTCCACTCACCGTTGTCCCCAAACATACGTTTGTACAATTGCTCGAAGGCTATAATTCTCAAGTTTAATTCAAAAAGTTTGCATACTAAATGTAATTCTCAGTATAATATGCCTGCTTAGCTTGGTTTAAGAATGATTTAATATAATAAACTATAATTAATACTCCCATTTCATATAATGGTGCATATTTTTCCATTTTATTAACCTCAAACCTTCGTTATTTAAGTGTTCCTCCTAATATGATTTACAACTATTATATAATTTACGAACTATTATACATGAGTATAATTTCCTTAATACACACCATTGGATAGCGGATGTAAATTTCGCTTGTCCTTCAAAAATAAAATTAAAATTTAAAAATTTTATTTAAGTGGTGAGAGATTTAATATCAAAATTTTTCGGAGATGAGTTGTCTCTCTTGATCGACTAAATAATTTTTATATTTTCCCTTGTTGTTCTTCGAGTTTTAAGATATGATTTTTTTTTTAAGGTAATCAGGACAATCATAACATAAAGATGATTCATCTCTTTCATCTCAACCACTAATAATTTAATGCATGGTTAAGAACTTTAACTTATCTGCGAAAATTAAAATTTGATAACTATAGTGATAATACCAGTATTATTGACGGACCATTTTGAAAATTATCTGTAATTATTAAAATGTAATATGTATCCCTAGATAATATGGGTCCTACTTGAAAGCAGCCAAACCACTTGCCCTAGTCCCACCATTGCTGCCTTTTTCTCCCTTCATATTCACAACTCTCCAACCCCCTTTCCCCCATTCCCACCATCAAATCATCCTGAATTCTCCCTCACTTCATCACCACTCTGCTTCTCCCTTCCTTCCCAGATACATCATATATCCCACCCAACATTCTGCATTGAGACCAAAGCATTATTTATTGCCAAAAGTCTGCATTAATTGTGAAGGTGTAGTGTTCTCATAACTGTATGGGTCTCACAAGTTTGCAAGTCTGCATGGATTCATCTGTTGACTGGTTGCAGGTATTCTAGCTGTTGTCCATTTTGTTTTTCCTTTCTGTTAGATCAAACGTTTACCACTGTACGCCAAAAACTATAACTAATATCGAAGACGCAACTTTATTTCATTATGTATCGAGACAGGGTGTTGGACTTGGCCCTTTAGGCCTCCGCCCAACAACCCCCTAACCACCTGATTCTGGATACCACTTATTAGGACTTGGCCTTTTAGGCCTCGTCCCTTCACCAGCCTCTGCCCAACAATTTCTCCTTACCACTTGATAGGATCGAATTTACCACTAGACTAAAAATTATAGCTAATGGCGAAGGCGCAATTTAATTTCCCGTTTCGAAAGACAGGGTGCTAAACACGGCTTTTTAGGTCTCCACCTAACAATTTCTTAGCTACCATCTGGTGCTGGACTCGGCTGTTCATTGGCCTCCGGCCAACACTTTCTCTCATTTTGAGTTTAAAGTTTGACAATAATGTTTCCACTTTCAGGGCACAATTGATGATGAGGGTGGAATGGACTCATCATCTTCACCATCTGGTGTGGACATTCTGACATGTTCAAGGCCATTGATAGAAAGAAGGCTAAGGCCCCCCCATGACCAGGCACTGAAATGCCCAAGATGTGAGTCCACACACACAAAGTTTTGCTACTACAACAACTACAGCTTATCCCAGCCAAGGTACTTCTGCAAGACCTGCAGAAGGTACTGGACAAAAGGTGGCACCCTGAGGAACATCCCAGTGGGGGGTGGGTGTAGGAAGAACAAGAAAGTCTCTTCTTCTTCTTCCTCTTCATCATCTGCCAACAAGAAATCATCATCATCACCAAATGACCATCATCATCAATTCCCTCATCCTCATCCTCCTCCTCCTCCTCATTATCATCATCACCAAAACCTTGGTCAATCATCATCCTGCACTTCTTCTCCTGGCTCTAGCATTAACCCCACAGACCTCCACCTTTCATTCCCTGCAGAAATGCAATTCTCACACCACCAATTCACCAATTTCCACTTGGCCCCCACTGGTTTCTTGGGGATTGAGAGCCCCACCCCAATAGATTTCATGGAAGGCAATGCAGGGTTTGTAATGGGTGGCACTACTCCTCCTTCAAGAAACCAAGACTTTCTTGGGAATAACAATGGAGATTTTGGGATGATGGCACAAACTACTTTCCCTACTTCTACTACTACCCTTTGCCCTCAATTTGGAATGCCCATTGATGGGAACACTGTGGGGCCTACTCTAATGCTCCCCTATGATCATCATCATCATCATCATCATGGGGATGATCAATTCAATGCAGCAATGCATCATCAAGATGTGAAGCCAAATCCCAAGCTCTTGTCCCTTGAGTGGCATAATGATCAAGGCTGCTCTGATGCTGGGAAGGATTCCTTTGGTTATCTCAATGGAGTTGGGTCTTGGACTGGCTTGATGAATGGCTATGGCTCTTCTGCAACAAATCCTTTAGTCTAATTAAACCTTGATTACCTTAATCAATCTGCACCTCATTTCCTTATTCATCAAGTTTCCATGCATCACCAAGGGTTAGAGATTTTAACTTAAGTATCAATATATCCTAATAGGGTAGGGGTTATATATGTCACGTTCTAGGAGTTCAGTCTCTCGATGCTACATTATAGACTCGAGTTCAAGTATCAATGCAGATTCAAGACATCAAAATACAACTTACGAAAGAATCGGAGGTAAAGTTCCATAGCTCGAGGTATTATCAAGGTAGCATAATATTATATTCGAGTAATATAATATTTTCGTGAATATGGGCACTTTTGATCCTATGAACGACTGATCCACTTAAAGGTATTAATTTTGAGAGAATTTTCCTTGTGTGAAGGGTATTATTATATTCCCTGTTTTAGTTTAATTCGCTTCATTAACTAGGTGCGTGTGAATGAGGTTTGTAAAAGTCCATATTTCACTTTTTGAGTGCTTTAATTTAATATATTACTTAAACATTTCTAGTCCTGTTTAATTTCTCCTCTTTCATATTACTTTGTCCATGTCATTTTACGTGTGAGATTTAATTAATGTGGATTGATTTAATTTATTTATAATTTAGTTTATTGAATTTTAATTTACCATTAGTGTATATAAAAGTTCAATTTTAAAATTTATTTATCCAAATAATAAGTGAGAGAAGAAATTTTGATTTGGTAATTAAATAAATAAGCGTAAGTATTAATACTCGATTTGATCCCTCGACTATTAAGATTTCACTACGTTGGTCCTTGACTTTCAGACTTGCTCAAATTCATTCCTAACTATGCAATTGTTAACCAAAATGGTCCTAATCAAGACTATTTTGATTTGGACAAATGACTATTTTAGGTAAAAATTGCATAGTTGAGGATGAAATTGAGCATGTTTGAAAGTCGGAGATTAAAGTGATGAAATACGTATAGTCTGGGGACCAAATCAGATATTAACTCATAAGCGTAATGCGTAAAATGGTATAGTGAGACTAATTTATTTTATCAACATAAGGGAATATTAAATGTACATTGCAATTAATAATTTATTAAATTATTTTTCAAACCCATAAACGTTGAAGAAATATCTTTAAACATGATATGACAATAACTCGACTTCACAAAAAGATAATTTTATAATAATAGTAATAATAATAACACAATCAAAGAAACCATTCTAATTCACCAATCGAATAAGTAAATAACATAAATATTGGTATAATGTATGAATTGAGAAATAAATTTAAAATCGCTATATAAATAAGTAATGTAATGTTTCAGCAATCATTGTCTTAGTTTTTTGTTCGTATTGGCTAACCGTTTAACTATTCAGGTGGTTAATAAAACCTATCGTCGATTTAATCACACCATGTTTTTTTGTTTGTTTGGTTTTTTTGTGGCAGTTTAATTAATTTTTAGGTTTAAAGCAGTAATTGCTTTTGGAATTCAAAGTTGTAGGCTCCTAGGATTTGCAAATCCAATGGTATCGAGGAAGATCTTCTAATGTTGTTTTTATTTATTTATTAAACAAAAAGAAAAGAATTTCTTCGCTCTACTAGTCTATAGGGTGCATTTGGTGCATGCGTATATAGGCTGACGTCTCAAGTGTTTGGTGGACTAATAATGTCCCACTTTTATAAAATATATATAAACTAATACGGAGTAATTCTTATTAGTTATTATCCATAAACTAATAAAATATTTTATACTTGGTTGTATTAGGCATAATTAGAACTAGTATTAATAGTATCCGCAAATTATTCTTTGGATTCGAATCCAAATGTTCACAATTTAGTGATTTACCTTTTAAAAATTTACAATTTGTCTATTACCAACACACAATGTTAGCATATATATAATTGATTACCTTAATAGTATTTGATGACCATGTATTATAGAATTTTTTGCGCTTTTGGTCTCACGACTATGGTGTCACTAACAACTTTGATTCATGACTTCCAAAACTTGTAAAATTGGTCCACAACTATGACTTAGCAAATTTGGTCATTTCAGAACACTTTTCGTTCAATTTTTGTCAGAAAATTTTACTCCCCATTTTTACATGGTTAATATTGTCTTTTCCATCTCACAAACTAATGACATAAATAAATAAATAAACAGCTAGAAAATTTTGACGTTTAGCGAGGAGGGTGAAACTGAAAGTGGAATTGGAATTGTGTGACTTTTAATTTCAATCACCGTACCACTGACTGTGTTTAATTAATTAATTTATTTATTTATGTGATTAGTTTGTGAGATGGAAAGACAATATTACTCATGTTAAAATGGAGATTAAAATTTTATGGTAAAAATTAAACGAAAAATGCACCAAAAGGATCAAATTTGCTAAGAACGTCATAGTCGTGGGTCAATTCTACATGTTTTAAAAGTCGTGAATCAAAGTTGTTAGTGACATTATAGTCGTGAGACCAAAAGTGTAAAAAACTCATGTACTCCGTATTATATTTACAAATTTCCTTCTATAGATGTTATTTGTTTTGATTTAGAAACACAATTTATATTCTAGAAGTTTACAATTTCAATACTAAAAATACACAATTTATACGCCATTTAAGATCGAGATCCACCTTGCAAGGTGGATCCTGATCCATGGTATAACAACTCAAAATAGTATCTTATACAACTAGATATATTATATTTCAGTATCATAGAAAAATCTTTTACACCACCAAAAAAATAGAAAAATCTTTTTAACTTAATTATAAAATTTCCCTAAAATAATTAAAATGTACTCCATTTTACATTGTAATCCGTAATACTTGACAAACATGTAAACAAAATTAATTACTCCGTATTAAATTAATAACCTCAACAATCTAATCAGTTTTACCAAATGGGCACAACATAATGACTTTTTAATAGGCTAATATTGTTACTCAATTTAGGCAAATTGTATTCTCTAATTACAGGCTGATATCATTAAATTATAATATCTTCATTTTCACGTGATTAATCAATATAAATAAATAAATTAACATATATCTATATATATATATAATGTATACATTCTATGCGGGTTTGACGGGACCCCATTGGCCCGTCAAGCCCATCCTGTCAAAGCCTGCCAAAATATGGGCCATAAAATTCAAAGCCTATGGCAAGGCAGGACGGGCTAGCCCAGTAGGTTAAGTCCGTTTTGACGGTTCTAACTCCCTTCTAAGCACTATGTGAACCATGGTCCACATAAAAATACCACCTAGGTTATAATATGATACTATTATAAATCACTGTAAAACTTAGTAATAATCTTGTAAAAACTAAACAGAAACATAGAAACATGGTGGTTTTTCTACCATTGCATATGACATTATTGCCATAATGTCCAGTCCATGCAAAACATCATATGCACATCCATGCAAAACATTAAAATCCTATACCAATTATTGTTGTTGTTAACATTTTCTGAGAAGGGAAAGTCTGTAATTAAGACAGAAGTAAAAGAGGCACAAATTGTCCTTATTAACCATGAGAATCCAAAAAAAAAAAAAAAAAAGGAAAGAAACCTTAACCAACTACCAAGTATTAACAATTTCAAATTTTCTTTTCTCTCCAGCAAGGAGAGACAATTCCAACAAATTACAACACAGCTCCCATGAAGCACTTCATGTGCGCACGCCCGCGCAAACATTAAATTACACAAAGCAGAAAACGTGCACCGACGTTGCACACAGCACAAAATGTGCACCGACTATGCACGACCAAAGGCGGGAAATGCAAGTAAAATAGCTGGGAGCTGTGAACCGTTTCGCCCACTAAACGAGCTGGGCACAAACAAACAGAATTGTTCTATGAGGAAGAAGAGGAAGGACCCACCATGGCACTGACCTTCTTGAGGAAGCCTTTGACCTCGCCTTCCAGCTTGGCTTTCATGTCGGGAGAGATATTGTCACCCGCCTTCTCCAGCATGGCAGACATCATCTCCAGATTCTGCTTGATGTGCATGAGATCAGGCGCCTCGCCATTTAGGGGAGCTTTCCCAGAAGGTAGCATCGGGAACTTGAAAGCATCCATGGGCAGGACAGTTGTTGGCATCTTGAAGTTATCAGCAGCTGGACCGGGACGATAATGCAAATGATAACTGGCAAGGGCGGTGGGTCCAAACGGGCTGCTCTTTCCCAAACTCTGGCAGGCCACTTCTGCATCAGAACTCTGTGCAAAGACAATCTGGGCAGTTGTTTCACTCGAAAACTTCGTTTCTGCCTCCACAACTGGACCAAACTTGATAAATGTGTCGTTTAGAGATTCCGTTGAAGGCAAAGGGTGTCCAGGAGTGAAATTCAAGATGAGTGTGTTCGTAGTGGTTCTGCCAACATTAGGTGTAGTTCTCCTCCTCTTGCGCCGGGGCTTTTCTTGAGAGTTATCAGCAGCTGGATCGGGACGACAATGCAAATGACAACTGGCAAGGGCGGGTCCAAACGGGCTGCTCTTTCCCAAACTCTGGCAGGCTGTTTCTGCATCAGAACTCCTTGCAAAGACAACCCGGGCACTGGTATCACTCGAAAACTTCGCTTCTGCCACAACTGGACCAAACTTGGTAAACATGTCGTTTAGAGATTCCTTTGAAGGCAAAGGGTGCCCAGGAGTGAAATTCAAGATGAGTGTGCTCGCAACATTAGGTGTAGTTCTCCTCCTCCTCCTGCGCCGGGGCATTTCTTGAGATGTAATAGCACTTAAATCACCCAAACCTTTTCCAGTAGAGTTAGTAGCAGCTGGACGACGATTCAGATGGTAACTGGCAAGGGCTGGTCCAAACGGGCTGCTCGTTTCTAAACTCTTATATGCCACTTCTGCATCACAACTCTGTGCAAAGACAACCTGGGCACAAGAACCACTTACAAACTGTGCTCCTGGCTCCACTACTGGGCCAAACCCGATAAACGCTTCTTTCAGAGATTCTTTAGAAGGCAATGGATGTCCGGGAGTAAAATTTAAGAACAGTGTGTTCCCCGTGCTCCCAGTAGCACCACCGATATCAGATTCAGTCATCTTTTGTTGTGTAAGTGTAACAGCACTTGGATCGGCCAAACCCTTTGCTGTTGAGTTGTGGTTAGTCGCATTCCCGTTCAAATCTGGTATGGCTGATGGGCTATTCTGCAAGTCTGAAGCTTTCTCCTTTCTCCTTCTTTTCTTGGGTTCAGGCTTCACAGCAACTGACAAGCCTGGGAACTGCAAATTATTTTCCACGCGGAATGTGCCCATCACTTGCACATCTTTCAGCACTGGAATGAATTTCGTACTTCTGTTTACATTCTGCACTTCAGAGCTCTTTGTATCTGTGGATGCCTCAGAAACAAACACTTCCTTGTTTTTGGCCCTCTTCGGTTCGAGTTTACCCTTGGAAGTATCTGGGCCTGTAACCTCCATGTTTTCAACCGACAGGCTCATACTATTGCCATTCAAATCTGGCAATCCACCAATCACTCTAATCTCAGGATGCCCCGGACTCACTGTTTCCATCTTCTTTCTCTTTCTGGGGACTTTCCCCTTTTCTGCGTTATCTGGACAGGTTTGATTTAAAGGTTCCTTCCGCTTCCTGCGTCTCCGTTTTGATTCGACACTAGAAGGAGCCAACTGTAACTTATCTCCTTCTGAGCCCTTAGCAGCATCAATTTCCTGATGACCCGAAGTTTCTTTATTCATTATTCCCTCTTTATGATTGCAAATATCAGATGAGTTTTGCAGTGGACTTTGCTGCTGCTTCTGCTGACTGTTATCCTCACTAGTGAAATCGTGATTTAAAAATGAGTGCTTTCTGAAACTATAGAAGAAATTCAAAACTGAACTAGAATCTTTACTCTCATCACTAGGATAAAAGCAATCAAGAGCCGTCAACTGAAGTTCTTGGAGCATTTCAGTTGAAGATGTATCGATATTCTCCACTTTACCATATATGCTCTTGAAAGTTCTGGATTTCCTGGATTTTTTCCGAGGGTTTTTGCCACTACTGTTGCCTGATGGTCTGGACACCTCAGACTGCTGGGAGGTGTTCTTTGTGTCCACCCCAGCATGAGAATCCCCTTTGGGATCTTCCGTTTCGGTTCCTCCACTAGCAGCTGAATCCTTCTTGTCCCAACTATTAACATAGGGGTAGGACAAGTACTTGCTCTTCTTCCGTTCTCTCAACTCGAAAGATTTTTCATGTTTTCCCTTGGGGCTTCTCTTTACTTTTTCAGCAGAGATTTTGGTTTCCGGCTCATTCATGTTGCAACCAAGAGGCAATTCTTCATCCTTCCTTTCCAATCCCAAACTGTGAAGAGCACCGTCCTTTGCATCATTACCACCATTGGCATCGCTTCTTGGCCTGAGCTTATGCATGGGCAATTGCTTATGCCCGACAGAAGCATAAAAGGCTGATAGACAATTCTTCATAACTGCAAACTCAACGCTACCTGGCATAGAAATATCCAGAGCTCTGTATCTTATGGACTCCGCAAACTTTTCAGGCTCAAATACTGATGCTGAGAAAAAACCAAGGCCACCTCTCTTAATATCTTTGGAGATTGGATGCACCGGAGTAGCATTAGTTGTTTTGGTTTCTTTCAGGGAACAAGAACAGGACATCTCCTGTTTTATACGCTGACCAATCTCAAGCAACGCCTTATCTACTGCTCCAACAAAACTTCGGGATTTGTTTTGTTGAGACATTTGCTCAAAACACTCAATAAAGGGCTTTAACCGTGAGGCAGGGCACCGAACTGAAATAATGCTCCCAAAATATTTAACAAGAAAGCCGTCCCTTTGGTCAGACTTTGCAGCATCCTTTGATGCAGCAGTAGGATCAGATATCGTTCCAGGCCACCACATCTCGGTCTTGGTTTTAGCCCACACCAAATCACCTACAGAGAAGTTGTGTTCTTGATTATCAGTGGCGTTTTCCTCTGCAGGATTTGCTACTCTCTCCTCATGGCTGTTTCTTGTTGAGGACGGTGTGCACTCAGAAGCACCCTCTTCCAACATATGTTCGGTTTCACAATCTCGTTGGCAGGTTCCACTTAATGGGCCAAAAACTTCTACAATCAGCGAAATGCCTTCTCGGGAAACTTCTTCTCCACTTTGGGAAATACCCCCATCCACTCGTGCAGCGAGATCATTTTCCCCCATCCTAATCGCCTCTACCCCAACCTGTTCATCAGATTTATTACCATCATGGCCCGTTTCCATAAGAGACACTCCACTGCCATCCATTCCATTACCATCTGAAACAACTCCTACTTCTTGAGTACCCCATACCAATGAGGCTCCTCCTTCTGTCTCATTTTCCACCGCAACCGCTCCCCCCTCATGGGATTCCATATCAATCTCTGCTCCCATTGATTCAAAACCATCATTCCAATATCCAAACTCACTCTCCTTTACCGGAGCTTCTAGACTTTGATCATTCACACCAAAATTACTCCTATTAGCCTTCTCTGGACCCTCTGTAGCCAACTCTGAACCAGTACACTCCACACTCAAGGTAGTCAAAACAGAAATCTGCTCTAGGGTTTCATCATGACAGCTTTGACTTTCCCCCATCTTGAACTCCACAGAATCTCCCCCTAGGGTTTCTAGAACCTTTCCAGCATCCATTTCAGGAATTTAGATTAAAGTTCTCAACTTTTTTCCAAAATCAACACCAACCCATCAACATAAAACTGCCCAAAACAAAAACAACAAAAAAGAAATAATCAAGAAAACCATTAAAACATTCCCTTTAGAAGCATTCCGTTAAATGCAACAATGAATTAGGCAGAGATCATACAGCACTGTATTATTTAAAAAAAAAAAAAAAACACCCAAAAATATAAGTGATTATTAATTACCTGATTAACAGCTCTGAGGGCTCTGCATTTTCAAGAAAAGGCTAAACGAGCACAGAAGAAGATCAACACAGAAGGATCTGCGAAAGGGAAAAGGGTTTGGGTTTTTCTTCGGCCTGGGAGAGGCTACGAAAGTGGGTAATTTCTGGGTCTAGGAGAAACAGATGCCAAAGGGAATTAGGGAAAGAGTTATGGTAGGCTTTGATCAGTGGTGGAGGATTGCTACTCGTACGAATCCAATGGGAGAGTTTAACAAAATAAGGGATTCTTTTTCAGGCGATAGTGGTTCATGTGAACAGTGCCGAGTAAGTGCTCACTGTAATCCCTGTTGGGTAGCCAACACTTAATTACTAGGATCCCAGACTGTTTAACATGTGTCATGGGATCGGTCTCTATTAAAATCATTGTAACATACTAACATTATAAATGTATAATATCATTTCATATCTTAATGATATTCTAGAAATTTGTTTTTAAAAATACAACAAATTGTATGTTTTTTTTGTTAGGACTCTATTATTGTGTTAAATTAAGATTCTATTCATGTACTTATTAATCAATCCAGACTTTCAATTCTTATCTAATATATATAAGCTCTGCTGGAGTCTCATCCGAACGGATTATTTTTGAAACCGTCGCTTGTTCCAGCGGTGGCTAACAATTCATTATCCACTACCTATCACTTTGTATCAATCAAGCTTATTACCTAATATGCAAAAGATTATTAGGATTGAATTTATCAAGTTGTCTTGTCATCAGATACACCTATACACGAAGACAGATGACTTATACAATTAAAATGTTCGTATTCAATGTTAAAGTAATGACGTACTATATTAAAATTATTAAAAACAATATTAATCCCAAATAGTTTAACATGTGTCTAGGGGCGGAGCCAGGATTTGTTCGTGCGGGGACCAATCACAATTTGAGAGAGAATAATAAAAGACATTAATATTCATTTAACATATTCCAAAATACATCATTATATTACAAATCTACTAAAATTTAGAACGTCTTTCTTGCATGTCACAAAAATCATCTATAATTGAATCTATACTAAATTATTTTGCAATTTGTTTTTCAATGTATACTAACAAACAATCATTAAAAAACTCATCTTCCATCTTATTACGAAGCGTAGTCTTTAAACATTGTTACTAACAAACTATTCACCAAAAAGCAAACATTTCTTAAATATGGATACTTGATACTTCACCTATAAACATTGTCAAAACCCAATCGTTATGTTGTGGAACCGTGTTCACTTTGCAAGGTGGACACGGTTTTATATTCATAATTACTGAACCATATGTTCATAATTATAAAGCTATATATTCATAATTTTTGAACTTCATATTCATAATTTTTGAATTCTATATTCACAATTACAGAACTCTATGTTCATAATTACTAAATTATAAAACTATATATTCATAATTTTTGAACTTCATATTCACAATTATTGAATTTATATATTCATAATTACAGAACTATATATTCATAATTATGTTTACAACTCTACTTGGAAGGGACAAATGCTTTGGTGAGGGGGGGCTAAAAAAAGAAAACAATATACTATTAATAAGATTTTTCTTTTTTTGGGACAATATACTATTAATAAGAATTTTTTATTTTTTTTGGGGGAGGGGGGGGGGAGGGGGGGGGGGGGGGTCAAGGCCCTCTCATTTGCCATGTACCTCCGCCACTGCATGTGTCATAGGATTGGTGTCTCTTGAAAAAAGAGTGTAAGGCAAAGATAATATAATAACATTTGTCATGTCCAAAAATAATATTTGAAAAAAAATTGCACTTACCATGTACCTCCGCCACTGCATGTGTCATAGGATTGGCGTCTCTTGAAAAAAGAGTGTAACGGCAAAGATAATATGATAACATTTGTCATGTCCAAAAATAATATTTGAAAAAAAATTGCACTTACCATATACCTCCGCCACTGCATGTGTCATAGGATTGATGTCTCTTGAAAAAAAGTGTAACGGCAAAGATAATATAATAACATTTGTCATATCCAAAAATAATATTTGAAAAAGAAATTATTAGAAAATTTTAATTTTCATAATAATATTATTTAAAAAAATGTTTTTCTAATTAAGTGAGCCATCTAATCATGTAACATCATATATGTATAATATACTTTTATATCTTAATGATGTTTTAGATTAACAAAAACAAAAAAAAAAAAAAAAACAAAAAAACAAATTGTATAATTTTTTGATACATTTATGCAAGAGATTACTAAAATTGAACTTATCAAGTTTGTAGTCAAATACAACTATAGAAGGGGGAAGGGGGAAGGGGGAAACGGGGAGGGGGGGGGGGGGGGTGTTCAAGGTCCCCTGCACTTACCATGTACTTCCGTCACTGCATGTGTCATAGGATTGGTGTCTCTTAAAAAAGAGTGTAACGGCAAAGATAATATGATAACATTTGTCATGCTCAAAAATAATATTTGAAAAAAAATTGCACTTACCATATACCTCCGCCATTGCATGTGTCACAGGATTGGTGTCTCTTGAAAAAAGAGTGTAACGGCAAAAATAATATAATAACATTTGTCATACCCAAAAATAATATTTGAAAAAGAAATTATTAGAAAATTTTTATTTTCGTAATAATATTATTTAAAAAAAATGTTTTTCTAATTAAGTGAGCCATCTAATCATGTAACATCATATATGTATAATATATTTTTATATCTTAATGATGTTTTAGATTAACAAAAAAAAAAACAAACAAACAAATTGTATAATTTTTTGATACATTTATGCAAGAGATTACTAAAATTGAACTTATCAAGTTTGTAGTCAAATACAACTATAGAAGGGGAGAAGGGGGAAAGGGGGGGGGGGGGGGGGGGGGTTCAAGGCCCCCTACACTTACCATGTACTTCCGCCACTGCATGTGTCATAAGATTGGTGTCTCTTGAAAAAAGAGTGTAACGGCAAAGATAATATGATAACATTTGTCATGTCCAAAAATAATATTTTAAAAAAAAATATTTGAAAATTTTTATTTTCATAATAATATTATTTTTAAAAAATGTTTTTTCTAATTAAGTGAGCCATCTAATCATGTAACATAATATATGTATAATATACTTTTATATCTTAATGATGTTTTAGATTAACAAAGAAAAAAAAAAACAAATTGTATAATTTTTTGATACATTTATGCAAGAGATTACTAAAATTGAACTTATCAAGTTTGTAGTCAAATACACAACTATAGAAGAAGACAGTTGGCCTATACAATTAAAAAGTTCGTATTCAATATTAAAGTAATGACTACATTAAAATTATTAATCCAAATTGTTTAACACATGTCATAGGATTGGGACATCTTGAAAAAAGAGTGTATCACTAACTATAACAATCGTTATACCCTGCACCACGGCGCATAGTGCATTGTGCGCTCCGCGCCTCTCAAAACGATGTTGTTTTAAGAGCCGCGGTAGGAAGTTGACATGATTATGTATATTTGCTTATACAATTATGTATATTTTTTTATTATGTACATTTTTTATATAATTATGTACATTTTTTTAAACAATTATGTACATCCGAATCAGGAAATTTTTGTGTATTATGTTAAGAGTTGATGTGTATTATGTTAAAAGTTTATGTTTATTATGTATTACTAGTATTTGGGCCCGTGCGATGCACGGAATGGATTTGTTGTAATATATTAAGAATATTTGGATCAATATATAATTATTTAAATTAGAACATCAAATATTATATAGTGCAATTGAAGGTATGGTTTGGATCATTTATGTGCTTTTATGTTATTAATTGCTCAAATTAATAGCTAATATGTAGATGTACGCATGCGGTGTTGTAACTTTGAAGATTTTATTTATCATTGTTCAGTACTTTTATAAATTAGTCAACTGTGCTCGTTCTCTAGCAACTTAGTTATAAAAATGAATTGATATCCTAATTTATTTGTATGGAAAATATATTTTTTGTCTAGATATATAGCAATTTTGCCATTTAAAAAAAACATAATATCACATATTGTATTTACATACTATTGAAACCTCTTTGTAGACAACATTGGTAGTAACAACACAATCTTGTCTATCTTCGTCTAGAGTTAACACCTTTAGTCCAAAAGGATGAGTGACTCGGGTGGAAATATATAATGGTAGAATTTCAGTCAATTAGTGATCCTTTTATATTTTATATTTTCAGTCAATTAGTAATATCAAATTCATTTTCAGCCAATTATTCTTTTTTTTTTTAGTCAGTTAGTCAATTAGAATATTATAGATGCATTGATATTTTTACCTATCCGAACCATTTTTAATTGATGATGTAGAATATTTTTATTGAAATATTTCCGTTCCATTTTTAGTTTATCTTTACTATTGTTTAAAATATGTCTTTACTATTGATGATGTAGAATATTTTTTATTGAAATATTTCCTTTTCATTTTTTATTTACTTTTACTTGATGATGTAGAATATTATTATTGAAATATTTTCGTTCCATTTTTAATTTTTGTTCCATTGCTTAAAATTGTGAAAGATTTATGATATAATTGTGATTTGATTTATTCTACTATGTAATATTATTGTGAAAAATTAAAAATCAATAATCTGACAATTTTCTTTTCTATTTTAGTCAATTATAGATCATTTTTTATTTTTAGTCAATTATTAATATTCATTTCTTTTTCCAATTAATCTAATTTCTGTTTCTTTTTTCATTTTTTAATTTTCAGTCAATTATTAATATTCATTTATTTTTCTATTTACCTAATTTTTGTTCCATTTTTAATTGATGATGATGTAGAGAATTATTGTGAAATATTTATGTTCCTTTTTTAATTTACCTTTAGAGCATCCACATTGGTTGGGAAGAATGGGGAGATAATGTAAGAGTGATTAGGAAAGAGAGTGTGGGAGAGGAGAGAAAAAAAAAAAAAGAAAAAACAAAACAAAAAAAAAAAATTAAAAAAAAAAGAAAGTAGTCAGACGCGTCAGGCGCGCCTGACGCGCCTCCGGGCGCGTGCAGTGCACGCGCCCGGCTTTTGCCCAAGGCTGTGCGCGAACGCGCACAGCCTTGCTTCTTCTTCTTTCTCTTCTTTTTTTTTTTTTTTTTTTTTTTTTTTTTTTTTTTTTTTTTCTGACAATCTCCCTACATTTGCAGGGAGATTATTTTTCAATTATCTCATGTCCACACTAGCTATTATCTCATGAAGGGAAGATTTAATTCTGAATTCTCCCCACAATATCCACAAGTGTGGATGGCCTTACTATTTACTATTGTTTGAGCTGGAAATCAAGTAAATAGAATTTTGTTTTTAATTATAT